AAGACTGAGAGAGGAAAGTAAAATCATGAGCCCCAGAGATGTAGGAAGAGCGACAGAAGTGCAAGAGTGTTGGTGCCTTAGCATAACTGGTCTGATGGGTAAGTTAATTCAGCAACATTTGCTTTGTACATCAAGGATGAAGAAAGTACTTCGCAGTTTCCACTCTCAGCTTCCTGTTCTATCAGACAGTGAAAAAGATATGAAGAAAGAATTGCAGACAATACATGACCAGCTGCAGCACCTGAGCAATGCTATCAGACAGGTGAGAGAAGGAATGAGCTGGCTGGTAGGTTACTGACACCACCTCACTCGCACTTGATGACACTGCTGATAGAGTCGAGTCCTGCCAATAGAGCAACTTTGTATTTTTGTTAAAATAAAAAACTAAAACAACTTCTGGTACTTACTGCTAATACAGACAGAACCTCTGCAACCCAGTATAGACTTTCTCAGGGTTTATACATCTTCCTCGGTCCTAGCAGTAACATTCTCTTCTCTGTGGGAGCGAGCAAGCAGATTTTAACCCAAAGAGAATCAATTCACTGCAGTATGACATGCCCATGTGTAACTGTACCAACCCTAACTAAGGTCATCTTTTTTGTACATGACTTCTAGGTTAAAATGAAAAAGGAATACCAGCAGAAAAAGATGGAAAAGGGTACCAGCCCCCGAAAACCCAGCATCACCCTCAGTGCCTACCAGAGCAAGTGCATCCAAACCGTCCTGAAAGAAGAGTAAGTTAAAGCTTGGCTCCTCCTCACTTACAAGAGCAATGCTATTCCAGTTCCTAGGGTGTAAGTTAATCGCAGTGCTGCCCGAGGGGCTGACTGATGCACCAGGGGCAGCTTGTTGGGATGGTCTGAAGCATAAACTCTGCCAGCTCCTGACAGGAGCACTGCCCATCTAATGCTGCTCTTACAGCAGGTTTAGTTTAAGTCTGCTTTTTGCCCAAGGGTCTTTTGGCACTCTGTGTTCAGCCTGTAATTAGCAAAATGACATGCAGTAGCACTCCCATTCTCTGCTCCTACCATGTGAAGCATTTTCCTTCCCTAGTCGTTCCGTGCAAAAATGACTTGCAGCCCTTTGACTTGGATTTATTTTTCTTGAAGGGGAGAACACATAAGGGAAATGGTAAAACAGATCAATGACATCAGAAGCCACGTGAACTTCTAACATGTCCTCGATGAGCAACTGACACTGAAAGGCTGGATGAGCTTTAACTTCCTCTGGTATTTCCCCTTGTATATTTAACATTTGTACGTTGAACAATATGCCTTTCACTTACTATTTTGTAAAGATGGACTGTGAAATAAAATACTTTTGATTAGCAAAAAACACAGCATGGAAGGAGTCTTTTCTCTGGGCAGCACGTAGTTCCCAGCGAGTGCGTTGCAGGGCGGTACTTACAGCTAGCTCAGGGCTGTGGGAATTGCTGCTTCCTTCAGAGAGTTGCCTGGGGTTATTCTGGGAGCCGGCTCCTGCCCCTGGGCCACGGGCACTGCGGGGGAGGCCTGTGGCAGAAGGCACAGCAGAAGGACCAGAGAAGCGCACACACTTCAGCAGCTTTTTTTTTTCTTTTTTTTTTTAATTTGGAACACTTTCTTCATCAAGGACACACCTTCAATACAGTTAACAAATGGTTACACTTGGATCCTGTAGACAGCAGAATTCTACACCCACAATTGCACAGGACACCAATGGCTTGGTTCACCGGAATGCAGTATTAACTTCCAAACGTTCCCTTCGCCTTATCAGAAGATGGCTCTGGAGCCCGTCTTGACATGAAAAGGCCAATTATTTATCTGCTGTAGACAAACTTTAGCAGACAGTAAAGCATTGTTGTCCCCTCCCCCCACCCCTTACAAAAAGTGACATGGTCAAGCTCAGGTTTGAAAAGTAGTACTGCACTGCTACAAAAGTGGCACAGCAAGAGGTGCCGAAGTAAAGCTGTAGCGAAAGGAGGGCTGTTAGTACCGGTTAGGTAACGAGGTTACCAGACATGCTGCAAGAACACTTTTTTTTTTTTGGTACAGATTAAGACTATACAAGTATAGGAATGCATACAAAACTTGATCTCATCCCTTTTACAGCCTACACCAACAGATCCCCAGTCTGCTCACTCTGTGTACTGTAGCTGACCGGCCAGGTCAGAAGTGCCTGTTAAGAATCTCTTACTAGGCAAGGAGAACCTACCACCCCACTCACATCAAGCTCCAGAACACCAAGAGCATTTGTTTTATGGGCTATACCACCATAATCCACCCTGTGAGTAGCTACACCAAGAGTTTTTATTCTACACTTAACTGTCAGTGGTCTTTTAAGTTTGCTCTGCAAATTTGGCACACACTCTTTTTTGGTTTTTTGTTTGTGGTTTTTTTTTTTTTTTTAAAGGCCCCTTTAAGTTTTGGGAGTTCAGCAGAACCTGAAGTTACTGCTTCTGTGCCTTCCTGCCTCTCTGGCTTAGCAGAACAGCTGTTAAGTGAGCACATCTCCCACTGCTTCTGTGAACAGTCGGGTTTCTAATTTAAAAAACAAGAAATTTGCACTGGTCGGTGAAAAAGGTCACTCGTTCCAACCCTAAAATGGCCAAAGCTAGTACTTGAACAGGAGTAAAGGTGTTCGGGTGCATGATGGAGTAAGGTGGTAAAAAGGAAGACAACCATACAGTAATTGTGTTCCCTTCCCCACCAAACCAAAAGGAAGTTCCTTCACTGACTCGCACGGTGCCTGGTTTAAGAGCACGGAAGGCAGATGAGTTCTCATCTCGGGCCCCAGCCACCTCTAACCAGACCAACATGCCATGGCTGTCCACTGAGAAAAATACACGAGCATGCATACAAACACACACACACATGCACAACCCCATTCAGCAACTGTTCCATCAGTTACTGTGTCTCTGAAAGATTATAAACTGCTTGCCCACTCACCTGTCCTCCCCTATGGGCTGCAGGTAGGCACCCCACAGCCATCTGCAACCTGACAACACCACACCTATAGAAAGCCACGTCAACAATTTGTAAAAAAAAAAAAAAAGACACTAAGGAAAAGCCACACCAGCCCTGTACTATTTGAAACAATCTAAGAGGGTCAGCTAGCCGCGGCTGTGTAGAGCAGACAGGAAGGCAGGGCTGCCGAGAACAGGCAGACACACAGACCAGAAAGGGATGCTGAAGGGGCCTTAGCTGCTTTCCTTGCTCTCTTGCACTAGGAGGACAGTCCAGAAACTCAAACAAAAACTCATTTTCTGCATAGGTCTTCAGATGCATTTCCTCAAGGGTTCAGCTTGCTGAAGAGATGTACAGGTTGTACTTTTGCCATACAACCGGCTTCCTTAAACACTGCTGCACAGGTTAAGTATCAGTAACCAGTTAAGAGTTAGTTTTTGGGAATGAAGGGAAGGTAGGAAAAAAGCTTTTCATGCTGCAGCTCCTACTGAAAGCCTATTTTTTTCCTTTCCAAAGTTTATTCAACAGACCCTAACCCTTGGAAAACTGAATGCAAAACATCTGGTATTGGATTTCTGCATCAGGAGGCAGCTGCTGTCACCTCACAGTGCAGCAAATAGTAAGAAAGAGTAAAAATTCCCACATCTGTTAATGGCCAACTAATAAAGCACCTAAGCCACATCTCAATTTCACTTTCAAGTGAAAATAAGAGTCATCTGGAAGATGAGAACTCTGCCCTCTATTAGTCTAGTCATTACTAAGGTAGGAAAAATGGCTTTTGGGTGTCAGGATTATGAAAGGAATTAATTGCTAGGGTGAATAAAATGCTTTAATTCTTGCAGTAAGTGACAAGGAATTGAGCTTCTATGCTTCTTTTTGGCTGTTTTTAAGGCATTCCTCTTCAAAACCACCAGTTCTAATTTTATGTTAGTAGCAGGATATACACTGCTAAAAATACGTTTAAGCACTTAACAAAATATAGTCATGTGCGTTACAGTTTGGAGCATCTTCTGTCATCTCTGGTTTTCTTCATCACCTCCAGATTTACGGTCAAGTATGTAAACAAAAAACAAGCAATGGAGGAAAGTCTAAGTTATTAGTTTTGGACAGTAATTATCTGCTCCTTCAGCCTCCTTTCTCCTGATGGAGTTGTAAGTAGGGGCCAGTTCAAGACCTCAGATTGCACCACCGCTATTACCAACACCTGCAACCGTACGTGAAACCACCTCCAACAAAAGGAGAAAAAGGAGGAGGAGTGGTCATGATACTGCTATACATTTACAGAACAAGAAACCCAAACCTAGCACCTGATTGATCACAGCCTCTGTCGTCACATTACATAGTGTAATTTAAATGTATGGTTATAGAAATACGGGACAGCGTAGGAGTCAACTCTGAGCAATACCATGATACTGTACTTTAACGTAAGAGATGCGCTGTACGTTTCAAACTTGAACCAGCAGAATAATGCAGCTCCAGCGCGTTTGTGCTCTGAGACCGAGAGTGCCATCACCGTTTTGTATACTATTAAGCTGACCCAGAGAGATGGGTCAAGCCAACTGCTTCATTCAGCGCCTTACCTTGCTGCTTTCAGTGAAGGCTAGCGACTTTACATCTGGTGTCATCCACTGGAGCAAAGCAGACCTGCAAAAACTCCATGCCAATGCTCAGGCAATGCACAGGATTTAAACCAGCTTTTTCTTTTTTTTTTTTTTTTTTTTTAAACACAGAGAAGGGATTACAGATACTGCTCAGCTTTAGAGATGAGAAAGAACCAGTTGTAGTTCCATATTCTAAATTACATTTCTGAAAAGAGATTACAAAACAGTGCATTTCTTGTGCTTTTCTTTAAGGATCAGAATTCAACGGAAAAATTTCAAGGAGCTAAATTCTCAGTACATTTTTCTTTTTTTTTTTGATTAGCATTTATCTATTCAGGAGACACACAGCTCACTCATGTCCACCACATTTCAGCAGCATTCAGATTCTTCAACACAAAGTCAATGATAGATAAAAAAAAAGTACTGAGTTATGAAATAAGATCAATATCCAGTGTCCTGCTAATAAAGTCATATTTTAATATAAAATATTCATACAGCATACTCTACACCTCATTCTCTCTGCTAGCTGAATACTGTTACTGACTATTCAAACAGAAAAACTTCAACCACTTTGCTCTTCAATGTTTTGGAGGGACAATATGGTTTCCAGCAGCTACTTTGATCACAGTAGTGGGGGAAAAGGAAAGAGGGGGTCAATGTCCCAAAACTCTATATTAGGTTACGAAGTCGGCTGAAAGAGGGGAAATTTTTCAGAATGTAAGGACTGATCCCACTCAGTGGAACACGAAACACCGCACTCATTAGTGTTTCCATTAGAAAGTTCTCCTTCCTACACTGCAAGTCATCCTTGTGCTCTCTTCCTGCCCAGTACGAAACCTTTTTCCCCTCTAGAAACAAAACTTAGTCATTGCTCCCCTCTGTCGTCTTCTGCTCTTTCGGTTAGAGTTAAATAATAATTAATGTTGCTATAAAGATGAGTTAAAAACCCCAAATGCAGCCTTGGAGCCCGCTCATCAGGGTGTCATGTTTCAGGAAGCTGATTAATGTCCGTCAGTTTTGTGTCATTCAGGATTGCACGGATTCTCTCCAGGGAATCTGCCTGCCGGATCCGCTCCAGCTGCACCTATAGAAAACCAACAGACAGAATGAGCTGGTAAAACGTGCGGGCGCCAGACAACAGACCCATAACCAGAACTGAGTCAACAGGCAACGTTAGGAACCCCTGCCACCTGTGCAAGCCGAAGAGCTCTCAAATTATCATTGGCTGAAAAACGCAAGGTGTGAAGGAGCACAAGCTTAATTCAGAGCTAAGAATGGGGGGGAAGGAAGACATAAGGCAGTTGTGATTTTAAAATAAAAAGACAGTCTGCAGGGCTCAAGCAAGCCTTCATCATCGCTCTATGTTTTGTCTAATAACCAGTCACTGACACCACACTGGCCAGGCAAACTGGAGGAGATGTGCAAAGCAACGAAAGCTTTCACAGAAAGAATGTAAAGGAAGTACAGAGCTGCCTAACATACGCCTTCAAGCCTCTCAAGATCAAAGCTAAAATGCTCTTGGAGGAAACATTTTGAAGCTCACTCCCGTTATGTGCTTTTCTCATAATCTATCTTAAGCTATTTCTTACATGCTGAAAAAGTGCCCAGCAGAACTGTGTGGAACTGAATGCAAAGAGATCACTTCCTCCCCTCCACCCCCCTTCAAACTTTCACATTCTTATTCACATATTAGGGTCTGGGCTTTTAGTTGTAAATTCCCAACTAGTGGTTAATTGGTTTTTAGCCCTTCCTCTTCATTGCTGATACCTAATTTGGCCAGTGTACACCTCACACAAGTGACACTCACCCAGGCTCGCCACTGACGAGGTCAGGGCAGGAAGTAACCCTGTCTGGCTATGAAGAAACCAAAATCCTCATTTGATGGTAATCTCTCCTGTTACACGGCAGATCTTGTACTAGGTACAGTGGAGATGGCACAAACCATTGTTTAAACTGAAAGCACTAACTGCTGAGAAACTAATGTGTAATAGCTGCTTAGCGGCAGAAAGAAAACACAAAACACAGAGCTACCATGCTCTTACTGAACTCATTACTGAAGGCCTACTAAACTACCTGCAAGTTTTGGAAGAATGCATCACACATCTTCAGAGTGCTGTGTATATTTTTGCTCTAAGAATTGCATACACCAGTGCATGCAGTACTTTAAAAGAGAGGATGATGACAAGCAAGAAGCAACTTCACTAGCCAGGACAATTCAGTAATCTCCTTTGTCCTACCTACTCCTCCAGAAACAGCCAGAACATCCAGCTAAACTGCCTAGTAAACACTCTCCTATATTCCTGTTTCAGCTTTCCAAATAAACCTGAATACTTGACTCAAAAAATTTGTATTTCTAATTCTACTGAATTTCACTGAGTAGACTGGCTAAGAACTCAAAGGAGACAGTGCTGAAATTCAGTACCTCCTCTGGGAGCACAACTTCTAGTAAGCTGGAACGTGAGAGGGGGTGCAAATTCCAAGAACACAGACACTGAAGGTGAGACCAATCTAGCCTGGCTTCCCGAGAAGACAGTTAGTCACTCTGCAAACACAAACACTGCAGGTCCCTTCTTGCTCTCTACAGTTAACAGAGAGAGAGAGATCAATCTGACAAACTGGAATTAGCCTTGATGAACACCCCTGCCAAAACTCCTTCCTTCAGCCACCTCTTGGTATCTCATCGCCAACCACAGGTTCCACTTTTTGGAGGAAATAAAAGGATAGCAACAGTGACAATAGCAAGGATAAGGCTTTTAGATAGTATAAATAGAAAGCAGTAAATATAACACAAAGAACCACTTCATATATTCGTATCAGACAGTACAAGTTCCATATTTGTTCTCAAATATTTGCACCCTAATGATTTGCTATGAAAAGTAACATACCGGAAAAATATCAGGAGATGGACAATGAAATACTGGCGTCTAAAGGTACCATCATTTATTGTTCTCTACAGTTCCTTTTAGTACAGTAATTGTGTATCTTTGCTGCTGAAAATCAGTTGGAATCTAGTAATCAGAATGAAATCCCCAATAGGATTAAATACTAATATTATACTAGGAATACTTGATCAGTTTATGATACTATGAACTATGTTAAAAGTTATTAAATACCAACATTAAAAACTTTACAACTGCTATTTCTTGTTTTACACAGCTCTGGAGAAGTAAAGAAACAAAAGTGGCACCTTACAAATTGATTGCACTTCCCTTACCTGAAGCGTCTGAGAAAGCTTTACAAAATCTCTCTGCACTTGCTCACTGACATCTAATTCAGTCTGCAACCGCTGAGCTTTATTCTTCTCTTCAAATACCAGCTGTTCAAGGTTTGCCTGAAGAGAAAAAGATTCTTTATACTATGCTTAAATGGAATAAAAGAGGAGAAGCTTGTATAAACTGATTAAAGCATAATACTGGAACAAAGCGGCATGGTTATTCTCAGAGTCCTGGCAAGAAATTAAACCAATCACTCTTTCTACACCTCAAATTTCCTAATCGCCAACATCAGGGGCTAATACCCATCAAACAAACATCCTCATTAATTTGGTTAAAGCACGAAAAAGCCCCATGTCTTTTAACAGCACTATGTCCATGGATATCAAAATAAAAAAGCAGATTTCTGAGTTTTAAACAAACATGACCATAGATGAAGGGTAGTAATCTGCTGGTGAAAATATCACTATCTTGCTGTATTGAGTTTTAGACAGAAAGGTCGGGGACGGATGAGGGAGAGGATCACAATTAATTCATCTGACTGCCAAAGTAGGGCTCCTTCCTACAGCAACACCAAAACAGCATTCATTCAGAAGTATTAAAGGATTCAAACCAGGGTTTGGTTAGTCGGGAAGCTTTCTAATGCAGAAATGTTACTGAAGCCTAACTTTGGAAGACAATCCAAAAGAGATATTCAAGTTAACAATTCTGATCCACCGCTTTACAAAACCAAGTGCTAAGTGATTGGGATGAGCATTTAAACCACATCCAGTAAACACTATTTCACTGAGAGAATCTTACCAACATTCAAAAGCTTCCTTTTTCATTCTTATGTAGTGACACATTCTCTGACCACCGTTTGATCTTCATAAAAGATGCATATATACTTCATACCTAGACATAATAGCTACCTTTGCTGCGGTCTCCTTCTTCAGTTGTTCTTCTAGAGTGTTTTTTGTTTCCTGCAGACTCTCCAGCTGCTGCAGGTTTTCCTGCGAAGAACTTTCCAACTATATTATAATAATAAAAAAAGTATTAACTAAACCTCCTAACATTTCAATTTCTCACAGTCCCTCCATACAGGAAGTACAGCCTAAGTGTCTTTCCTGGGAATACACCTAAGTAATCTCTCCTAGGGACACAGAAAACACCTAAACATCATCTCTTTCTCTCCATTTATTTCTTTTTGGAGCTGGAGAGAAATGGCCAGACCTGACATTTAGGTTATTATTAGGTAGCCTAACATTAGCTAGCAATTAGTTAACCCAATCTTTAGGTTACAGATTAATAAACAGACAAAACACCTTTTAAGGAACAGAACTATGAATGTGTCCCAGTCCTACACAGGCATCAATACAGCTATTCTGTTCTTCAAAGTTCCACACATGACCTTATGTGTTTCCTTTGAAATGGTCACAGAAGCTACACAGGTGCAGCTACAACACAGGTCCACCTACACCCTTAGCTGATACCAGGAGTCGCAACACGCTGTGTCCAGTACAGTGTCAGTGCCTTCACTAAGAAAATTTGTGCAAATACATGGCCTGGTGTTCCTTCTTACAGGAAGGAAAGGTTCTCTAAGCAAATAAGGCAGCCCTCCAGCATCCCACAAGCACATTGAGATGAAGGAAGAATAATGTTAACGTGTTTCAGGATGCTCTGATACTAAACATCATAAGAAAATGTATCTAAAGTGCTACTGACACCTCAGATGCAGATGGGGAAAAAAGTTCATTTTCTTTGGTATGATGAGGTTGATGTCAAAAGACAGCAACACAGTGTCACTGATGGAACTAGCAGAAAAAAAGAATCCTAGTCTCTTTGTTAAAAAAAAAAAAATCCCACAGTGAAAGGGCTCCTTACCTGCTCCTTTTCCACTTTTATTCTTTCCAGTTCAGCTTTTAAACTGGAAATGGAAGCTGAAAAACAAGAATATTAAAGCTTAAATGCAAGAAAAACACAGGAAACTGGACATACCCTGTTTACTTCTGTTAATATTTAAAGGACAATTAAGCACGTGTTACATCAAAGGTACCTCAAAGGTAAACAAATAATTATACTTTTGTTTTTAGCTGCACAGCTACGTTGTGTCTGTTATCAAAAGTGGACAGTATTTAAAATTCAGGTACGTCTATTTACCACAAAATCAAGCCTTGACTTATCTTACTAATTTCTAACATTCCTATTTTGAGACTGTTTTACCCCTGCTCACCTATTTCCTCTTTGCAGTTCTCTATTTCCAGCTGTAAAGTTTCTTCTATGTTTTCTTTCAAATATTGTTCAGCTTGAATCTGTTCTTTTAAGAATAAAATCTCCGCCTTAAGCTTCTCCTCAAGGTGATCTGCTGCTGTCCGCACACTAATTATGTCTTCACGATATTTTAAAATCAGCTCACGGAGCTCCTGAATCAATGATTAGCAAAGATTTGTATTATGATCTTCAGATACACACAGTACTGTATTTATCAGCATACAAGCCAAAGACGAAGTTATGCTACGCCGAGGTTTGTCCCACCACACCAGATCTTGCAAGATATTAAATACTTGCAAGATCTTGCAGTATTAAAACAAAACTGCAAACAGTTTGCTTGGCCGTAATAAGTGACGAATGTGTAAAGATTCATGTCACCACAGCCTTATGATCCTCTCCCCCTACCCTTCACCCCCCCGAATCTTTTAAGCTTGATGTGCTTGAGCCTCAGGGAGTGGCCATGAAAAGGATGACAAGGCTTATCATTATCCAAGGCTCAGGATTATTACTGGTCTTAATGGCTGGGCAGAAATTAAAGTGACTAACTTAGCTTAATTTATTGAATCATATCTGCATTGGAGCCATAGTGACTGAATGGTTGGGTGCCAGTTGCAAAGTACAGCTGAAACTAGCCTAACTGGGATAAACCCCCACTCTACTGACAACAGAGCAGTTGCAGGCCATAGTTAACTCATTTTATTATTGTCTATCCATACCCGGAAGCATGCTCACAGTGGGATCAGACTGCTGATTTTGTACATCACAGACTTAGAGGGTTAAAATCATGATTATTGTTCATTGTGCTATTTGAGTCAGCTTTCCGATAAAGAAGATTCTTCCAGCAAGATCTAGTCACATGCATTATTTGCGTTAACGATTTAAAAATGTTTTACCTCTGCTGCTTCTGGTAGAATGAAATCTTCGGCTTGCTGCAAAGACACATGCAAGCTATGTTTTCCTTGAAGGCTTTCATTATCTTTTTGCAGTCTCACCAACTCTTCTGAAACCTGCTCCCTTGACTGTGTCAGGACAGCCTCCAACGCAAAGAAAAGTATAAATTCTCACTTAGGGTCATGCTCAGATCTCTTCGTGCCCCATTTACTATCATTGCTTTCATGAGTCAGGTGAAGTGATATTCTTTGTAAAGAATATTGAATAATGAAACAAAATGATTACGTGGATCAACACAATCAGTTCTATTTCTGATGCACAGGCCAGGCAAAAGGCAAGATCAATCTTAACTGTACAGGCAGATAGAAGGAAGCAAGTGATAAATACAGCATTGTTAACTCTCCCAGTTTTTGTCTGTATTTATCCATTACCTAAATGTGCTCATGGAGGGGAGGCAGGGGATGAAATCACATGTGGTTTCATGAACTGGCAATGACGTTTATTAAAATCACCTAACAACTCAGCTGTAAGATGAGATTATTCAAAAACCTTAAACATTCATCCTGAAACTTTCAATCGTAGAAGTCTGCCTCCCACTGTCTTTTGAGGAAAACATCAAAACAGCTGATCCCTTGTGAAGAAAAAGGATTAAGAAAACACAGTTTTGCTTGTATTACAAAAGAAAAAAATCCAGTGAACTTATTCTGAGAGGAATGATTGCTTTGGTATAGGGAAACAGGGACTTGAGCTCTGACAGAAGCTGCCCTTTGTATTATAGGTGGACAGCGTGAAAAGCATATTCAGATCAATATATTTTCTGAACCTCCTGCATCTCCATTAGGCATGCTCTCATGCAGAACATCAAACAGAACATTTCTGCAAGCAATGTCCCGATGTCCTACAGACAATCCCAGAAATGCAATACTGGGATTCATGAGAATGAATGCTCTTACTCCCCGCAATGCTGTACAAACGAGGTAAAAAGACGAAACTTGATTCTAATATAGAAGGGAATGAATTGCTCTAAGGAACTTAAAGCAAGGAAATTAGAACATGATATTAAAGACAGGAAATTAGAACATGATATTAAAGACATCAGAACATGATATAAAGACATGTTTCTGCCCTAGAAAACAAGGTCCTATTCCTGTCCTCTGTCTTAATTCCTACAAGATGCTCCAAATAGTTTAAAAAAAAGTAAGTTCCCATACATATCTCTTCCTGTGTGTTAGGGCTGATATTTTAAGCCTGACCTGTAAAAACATTGAGGAGTCATCTCTCAAACTTAAGAAAATATTCACTAGCGATGGTACTTGTGATGTACCCTAAAAACTGTCTTGAGATAATTCTAAGGTGAAATAAGATACTAAGCAGGCATGGAATGTACATAATAAATATGGGGGAAAAGAAGTTGACTAGTGATCTCCATATTAATCAATATGCATACACACAGAAAGTATGACAGATTGACCCTACACACTGTTACAGGTCCAGCACTTGCTAACAGAGCTCACTTATCAGTACCTCTACACGTTAAGATGCACAGTTTGCTCTAGCCAAGCTTGGCTGGGCAGCAAGACAAAGTCTTTTACAAACACATTGAGCTCCAAAGGTTAGACAAACAGCGCTGTTCAAGTGATCTCTGCGCTTAAGCTGTCTTACCATTTGCTCCTGGACGCTTCTCTTTGCTTGCAAAAACGCCTGCTGCAGTTCGCTGAGGAAGTTCTCTGACTTTTGACATTTAGCCATAAGCAAAGAGATCTTAAAAAAAGACAACGCACACAGACAAAGATATACAGCATGAAACAGATTTTGAAGAAGAAATAACCACTGAAGTTCTCTTGCCTGTTATCATTACTAATATATACTTTGAAATTTCCAACTAATCCACTAAAGTTTATTTTTTTAATTCCATACTCGGTAAAGCAGCCCAAGTCAGTAGGAAGAGATGCCTTGCTTCTATACCAATAATATACTTATGTTCTATTTACCAAACTGAAAATAACAAATAAACAATTAATTCTAATCAAACTTGACTGTAAGCCAGTTCAGAGACAGTGAAGGGAAGGAAATTGCAGAGCTACTGCCTAAATTTTCAGCTTTTTTTTTTTTTTTTAAGGTCATTTTTTGTACCTTTCTCTCAAAGCATAGATATTCAAAAACTTTGCAATTAAGTTATTCTACAACACATGCTTAACAATTAAGTAATGCTTAATTTTACTAAAAGCACCCTGGTAAAGGCAAAAGAACGAATGTATAAACATATTCCTGTCATCTAAGACAGACTTTGTCTAATGACTACTGTTTCCTTAGTAAGGAAAAAAATACTGGGTGGGATGGAAGAGACAAAGTCTTCCAGCTCAAGTGAGGTAAATTCAATGTCTTGTACACAGTATTTACCTAATATTGTAATCTTCAACAGGCCAAAGATGTGTTTTTTTTTTGTTTTTTTTTTTTTTTTAAAAAGCTATGACTACCACGTATCCTATTTGGCTCCGCTGTTCCAGTTGTGTACACATCTCAGACTGAAAAGTCTTTTCAGTGGGCTATTATTTTAAAGAAGTCTAGTGCATATTTTAGACCACATACTGTTACTGCGTGCTCAGCTACTCGTTAACTGCATGTGTTCACCACAAGTCCATTAACTAGGTGTCAAGTATTGATGAGAGCAAGTGGTATGAATAGTACCACTCCTCTACCGACAGCAACGCGGGGCTGCTTTTGCATGTTTGGGTGACTTATACACAGGTCACTTCAAAACTCAAACACTACTCCAATTCCAATTATCACATCTGTAACAGATTTCAAGATTAGAAATTAAACTTTAGGGCCAAAATTGGAGAACATGATATTAAAGACATCAGACTTCTCTAGAAACTGTGTCAGACTCAAGTGGAGCATAGCTAACCCTAGAAGTTCTCATTTTTGTTGCCTCTACACCAGGTAGTCCATCCATATCTAACAGAAGACGAGTTTTTGTTACATACTTTTGTAGAACATTTCATGATTCCTACAATCTTGATTACAAAATGCTTGTACCTGATTAGAGGAGTCTTCAGCACTTTGTTTCATGTAATCCTCCAATTCCTGTTTATCTTTCACTGTCTTTTCCAGCTGGTCATTAGCCTGCCTCAGCATCACCTGCAGCTTTTTCACCTGGGTTGTTACAATAAAATAATTTAGTTTTCCATTCTTTTGGGGAGCATTTATTTCCTGAACACAAATATAACCTACCCCATCGCACCCCCAAACCTCAAAACAAAATCCCAACATGGTACATCAAACTGCACTGGACCACTGCCATGTGATAATTTCAATCACTTATTTCAAAGCAGAATGTGACTCATGCCTTCTGTACCCATCTGAAAATTGCTCTTCTGTATATAGCAGGAAACAAACATCCTCCAATACTTTACAGTCATTTTGTGCTGCTAGGATGAGGTCCTCTAATTTTTTCTTTGCTGTTAACAATTCTTGCAGTATCAAAGATGATATAATTTAATGCATGACAAGCATTTTAGAATATAAATTATGAAAGATACTGACTTCAGCACGAGCACAACACTTTTAATAGAACCACTGTTCTATTGCATGGTCTATTGGCACTGGATAAAGTGGTTCTCCAAGGTGAATCCTTGAGAAATATGTACACGTTGGTGCTCATGACAACATACCAATAACAAATCAGGTTATGTCTATAAAATGTCAGAAGTTATCCAGATTTTAAGTATTCTGACATTGTTCAGTTAAAACCAATGAGTAAAACAGCAGATGGTTCATTGTTGCATCCTTAGTAGTTCAAATAGCTGCAAAAATCTTGCTAAAGCTAGAAGAGAAATCCCACCTGGTCTCTTGTCTCAGCCTCCTGAATCTGGATACCTTGCAACTGCTTCTCATAATTCGAGCACATATCACAGCGTCTACCCAGCTTGTTCCCTGCATTCTGCACCTGGAGAACACAGAGTTATCACCTGCCATAAAGGCCATAAAATTCTTAAAGGAATGCAGGAGTGCTCCATATTGTCAGGTGTGTTGTGTGATCACAAAATATTACAGATAAAAGGCAGTGGTAGAATCATGTAACGGCAAGATTAAGTTGCTCTGGAAGTAAAGGATAATGTAAATCAGCTTTTCCTGGCATGAGTCCCACTGTTAGCACAAAAGTAATAAGCCATGACATGCCAAGCCAACACTACATCAAGTCAATCAGTGTGTCCTATTGAAATATATTACTGTATGTATTCTAATTACCTGTACAGAAACAGAAATCTCAGAAAAAAGCTTTCAACAGGCCATAGCATTTTTTCATGCAACTATTTCGTATTACAATTCAAATCATAGTTTGGTGGGGGTTTTTTGCGGGTTTTTTTGCTTTTGTTTTGGGGTCTTTTTTGTGTGTCCATGGTTTGGTTTTGGGGGATTTTTTTTAAAAATTAAAAAAAAAAAAAAAATCAACAAAAAGCAAGGCAGTTCATCAGGTCAGGACTTCCTTAAATCTTTTTCCTCCTGTAACTGAGCTTTGAATGTTTTTCAATGGCACGTACTAATTTTGTTCTCTAGTCATCAAGCTTTATTTACTTTTTAATACCCTCCTCCAGTATTGCTCAGTATCAGAGACAGAAAAAAAAATCAGCTAAAAGAACAATTGGGAAAGAATAAATAAGATGACAGACAGATTAAAAAAAAAAAAAGAAACCAAACATGAAGGGAAAAAAAAGTGTTGGGATATGTAGAAGGGAAGCAAAGCATAAACCTGCTGCCATTTTGAAATTGTAATGGTTTTGGCTAAGAGAAAAAAATGGAAGTTTTATCAAAGCTGCAAGTCAGGTTTGAGCTGAAAATTTGTATTCGCTGCTCCATGTCCCACCCACACAGAGAGGCATTCACATACCCTGCCTTTACTCCTGCCTCCAGAAACACGTGGGAAGCAGCGCATTTCTTTGCTGAATGCTAAGAAAGGGTTGGAGTAAAATGTCATCCAAATGTCAACAGGGCAAGGAAACATTCAAGAGTAGAGGATTTAACTAAGCTCTGCGATCACGATGCCGTAATTCCTCCAGATATTACAAATTAGTAACAACACGAAAAATAGCAACTTTACAATAGGTTTGGAGAGACTGCCTAAGTAATGATTTGCAGATAAGTTGAATTCCAGCAAAGCTGAGGAAAGAAAGTATCACTAGTTCTTCACCTGTCCTTTGCCTGTCCTCTTCTCTTTCACTGCATTCTTACATTCCTCTCTCTCTCTCTTTTTTTTTTTTAACACTCCCATCTTGTCCTCCGCTTTTCTTCCCCCTTAAGTGTTGCTCCTTGGCCCCTCTTCTTCTGGAAGAGTAACCACAGGAGCCCCAGAATACTCCTCTTTTCAGCAATAAACCAAATGCAAGCTTTGAACTGGCATCATATAAAGCTGCTGAAAAACTGACGTGCAGAACACCAAGAAGCAATAATTTCCTTGGTCGCCCATACTGAAACTGGCACAGTGTTAAGTCTAATCTGCTGCTTGTCGCTCTGAGAAATTGCTTTCTGATGATGCAAGTCCCCAACAATTTTCTGAAGCTTCCTTTGTGGCAGCTTTGTGTGTTATGCATATCTTGGCTGCTCATTTCTAAATTGCACTCCATGCACAATCCTCAGTAAACTACTCGGCATGCAAAACAGCACTGTTAGCTCTGCTCCTTTTGTTAATCTTTGCGCTTCCCTAGTCACCCCTAGTTGCACTGTAACATCCTTTCCTTGGCTTCCCATTTTCTCCTTTTCTTTGAGTTCTCCCATCTTTTTTCACCCTCACACATATTTGTGAGATCAACAGCTACCTGTGCCAGACCCCCCGCCAAGTGCAAAAATATCCTGTATTCAGTAAAGCCGACTTTCCCACAAATAGAGTCAGCCAATACAGTTTACATCAGATGTGCTTCACCTATAGAAGTATTCCAAGAGAGAAAAGTGAATAGCTACACATGATGCTACAGATTTCCTTCCGTACCTGACTCCATGTAAAGCAAATCAGGAAGAGCTTTCACCTAGCAGACAGCCCGCAGCATGCAGGCAGCCTGTCATGCGGGCAGCGGTCACAGCTGATGCACGCAGCGGGTACTCACCTCCTTCTGCAGTAGGTTCCACTCCGTCTCACTAACCAAGCGGTAACCGCTAGGAGATACATAAGCGCTTTCTACCCCTTGCGTAACGCTGGAAAGAAGCGAAGCAGTCTCTTCTTGCTCTGGTGTCATTGCTTTGATTGCTTTTTCCTGATCTTTGGTTAACATGAACCCACTTGGCATTTGCAGAGACCCAAGGGAAGCTGTATCAAAGTTCTCAGATGCTGAATCTGCTCCAACAAGTGGTCCAAAATCTGACTCATCCAGGTTCCCAGCAGATTTTGCTTTGTTGTTGTATCCTAAAGCTTTGGACTGTAAAGATCCAGATGTCCCCAGACTGTCTGTTGACTGTGCCCTCCGTAGTCCATCTTTAAACATATCATTATCCAATTTATTGAAAGATTCACCAGAAGAAAGAAGCAAGTCTGCATCCAACGAATGGACTGAGCCATGGGTGCTATTTACATGCATCTGGAATTGAAAAACAAGGAAGAAAAAAGTATATACTCCATTCTTGAAGCATAGTGCAAGAGGAATGCTGGACACTAAGTATCAGGCATGGTAAAGACAAGTTTAAATTGGCTTTGGCAAGAACATCTAATCACTGTGTGATGGCAGAGAAAAGGATAGAGAACTGAAATGTACTGGCTAGAATTAAAATGCAAAACAAACAAAGCAAAAAAAAAAAAAGTCTTCTGTTAATAGAGTGCTTTTGTAAGAATCTGTCTTCCTGCCAGACAAGCAAGGACACAGTCACCTTACATCTTCCAATATTTGAAACAAGGCGCTTCTTCCACTAAAGATACACGCTTGCAATATCACCTCTAGAACCTCTAGAGAAGGCAAGTATTCCATTTCCACAAATCAATTCAGAAGCCTTTCGTAAGCAAAAAACTTTACACTAGCGTAAAAATAGAGAATGACGTACTTAAAATCTACTCTATACTGACAAGTGAATATTTTTCTTCTATTTCTTTCTTCTGCTTTAAGTGTCTAACAAAATACTGTAAGAGAAAGAAATATTTTCTTTAAAAGATTATTTGTACATAAAATAAAATGAAAAGGGAAAAGGCTGGGTTTAAAAGGAAAGGCATCCTGGGGAATGCCAATACCAAAAGCCACGCTAACTGTCCTGTGACGTATAAGGCACATTAAGTCTCTTGATCTATTTTTATTTATTCGCAGCACTGGAAAGAGAGCAGTAATGCTTTATTTAAAAAGCATATGACTGCTTTCAAAATATCTTCCAATATATTATGCAATTCTGCTTTACCATTAGACATGTAAAGAAAATAACACTGAAAACAAGCCTCTGGAAAAAAATAATAATTTCCAAAATAGTTCCATCAGAGACTAACAGGCAACTGGTACTTACATATAGGTGTTTATAACTTTTAACTACATATTATGCACTACTGTTTTTATGACTGTTGTAAATGCCTTGTTTTAATCATTTTTAGGCAGAATTTATATTTACATGTATATATATGAGTTCAAGTTCACAACAAAAAGTCAAGAGAATAGAGACTTATATAAAATTGCATCTTCAGGCAACAACTGTTTGGCAATACAGTTAACAAATCTTTTGTTTGTATTGCAACCTGCTCAGCAGAGAGGAGCTCAGACGTCACATTATGATGTTTTGAGATGTGACTGATAATAGGATTCATTACCACTTGTAAAACACATTCTGTACAGATAAAAAAGGTCATAACAAAAAACAAATCCATAAAGAAAACCAAAACCACTGTGGGAACTATACCCTTACTCAAAATGTATAATTTTCCATTCTGTATAATGTCTTAATTAAGGATTAAGTAACTAAAAGTATCCCAGGAACTGAGATTAAAGAAAACATCAGAAGACAAAACTTTTGTTCACCATCAATAGGTCTCATTTGCCCATCTGGATACAGAAGTGTATAACTGTATAACATAGTATTCAAATTAGAAAAAGTTGTATTCTTACTGTAGGATAAAGGGTAGAACTAGATCTCATCTACATTTAGATGTTACAATTCCGAACATCCTTCTGCATTCTGAAGTGTTACCCATCACTGATAACAGTGAGTATGAAAAAAGTATATACTTTCCCCCCTTTCAAAAAGGATTAATAAAACAGGCAAAATACCAGCTCACACTGCAAATTCTCAAGTCTCTTGAAGCTTACATAAGCTTCTACAGCACAAAAATTGGTTTGTTTTTATTAGTTTGCCTCCATTTTGACTTTCAAAACCAAAATGGAACCTATCAGATAAACAAGCAAAATGCAGCGGAAAAGGATAAGTAACTGCCCATTTTGATATTGTTTCCAAGTTCCAACTTGTGTACTCACTGGACATGTTTCTTCAGAAGTTAAAAGCTTAGGCAAATTTCAAATATCATTTCAGCTTGTCCCAGTGTATGACTATCTACAACATCCAAAAGGCTTGCTAATGAATGACATCCAGCAGCATTACTTTTTCTGGCTGTTACACATGAGTCTACTAATACAGCTCAAGCAGCTTCCACAACAACAAAGTGCTGAGTCACAGCTACTGGCTTGACTAAAGAAAGCTTATTTTTGGTTGCTGAACAAATGTGGCCAAAAACCTCTACTTGCACAGCTGCAAGTCATTTAATACATACAGATACACACATCATGCTATTTTGCACATGCTAAGCAAGTGGCTAACTTCACAATCAGTGATCTCAGACTTGTCTAACCAGGTTAAATTTTGTATAGAATTCAGTAAGTAGGTTAGCAAAGTACCTACTATACACTTGCTGAATGTTCAGATCTAATTGGTTTAATTCTGAAGACTTAGGTTTGTTAGAATGTGGTTATAAATCCCAAGAGAATTTACAGCAGTTGACATCCAGAATGCAAAAGGTAAATTACAGTTTTGAACAGCACCTCTCAGAGGATTTTACGGTATTGCCTTCCAATCTTTATTAGAATTTATATATCCAAGTGCAACTCAAAGATTTTTTCATTGCTTAATAATAATTATAAGCTACAGAGAATGAAGGGCACTAAGTGTGCATTTGTGTTTGTAATCAACACCCTGAGGAATGCATGAGTGCTCAAAGTTGCTTTCAGGTATCCAATTGTTTTACCTCTTCATTAGAGAGCTGGGTAAGAGTTTCCTCATGAGCTAGAGAACACGAAGCTTTCGTTTCATCATCCGAATCTTTTTGTTTCTGCTCCTTTTTCTTGCTAAGCCTCTGCTGATCATCTTCTTCCTAGAAATCAGTGGTCAATAGCGAACACATATAAGAGGGAATCAATTTTACTGTAGTAGTCATGACATCAGCTTTTCATGATAAACTAGGCTATAAAGGCAGCACTGGAAAAGATTACTTTGGTTAAAAACCCAGTATTTATCACGTCAGGATTCTTTTGGTTAAAAAGCTAGTGTTCATTTCACAAGGCACCCAAACTGGTTTAAACAAGAACTTACTTTTCAAGTTTATTGGCCGATTCATGTCCTACACCAATTTTATTCAAAGAACCCATTAACTAGATCAAAATTCTTACTATAGGGATTACCAAATAAGTAACATAAATAGCTGTTACACTGGCTATTGTACAGAACCTGGTAACATGCTTTCATCACTGAGGGCCCCACTAAAAGCCATTACACAAGCATGAACGTTAAAAGAAAACGTGAAAATAAGAAGTGCCTTGATCACTCTAAACAACGGAATATAACATACAGGGAAGGAAAAGAAAAAAAAAACCTGAAAGACAGACATCCCAGAACACTAAGTCATAAAGCATGTACACAATCACTTGCATAAGCTAATTTAAAATTCAGTTTTTAACTGATGCTTGAGCTAGGTACTGTATTGGAAAAACCTAGAAAGAAATAAAAGTTGCTATCCTAAGATACTTAACCCAGCTGTTTTGCATGACAGATGACTGTTTCTTCCTCCAAGATTAACTTCTGTATATCATTACTTTTTCATTTGACAATATTGGCAACATTACTTTTAAAGTTACTATATACATTAATATTAAAATATTCACACAAATTGAGAGTTTCTGTTATAACTGCTAGCTGTCATTCAAATGGAGAATTTCTATTAGAACTGTGAGCTTCATTTTTTTAAATATTGACACACTTAAATAACTTGTCTCCAACATATGACTTCCATACCTGTTATACCACATTAAATCTACAGTATTAAAAAAAAAAAGGGGGGGGGGGGAGCTTTTAGGGTGTATGTTGGAAGGTAACAGGGAGGGGGGGGGGGGGGGGGCCACGGAGCAGCAAGTAACCTGATCCTTTTTTTTCAGTTCTTCAACTTGTCGGAGCTGCTCAGATGTCAGAACAATTTCCATACGTTGCATGTCCCTCATCAGCAAACGTTGAGACTCCAAGAACTGGTCATTAGCTTTTTGCCATGTGTGTTTCAACTGGTTGTGCTGTTGTCGCTCTTGCTCTAAGAGATGGCAGACTATTCAAACATAGAAAGAGTCATTCTGAATCAGAATTTTTTAACGTCTTTTCCAAAGAGAAGCATTTTCACAAATAAAAGTAATTATTGTCCTAATCAAAACCAGTCAGGCTTTGTTCAATAACTATTTAGGATGAAATAAGACGTTTTCTTAATTCCCAAACTTGGCTTGTGAGTAGGTGTGTATTACTGACAGTTTAAGATTTCACAATTAGAAGACTAACGCCTTAACTTCATTCATGAATTCTAATAGTTTTTTTTTTTTTTAGTGCTGGTTTCAAATCTCCTACATCCCTATTCATTTCAACAGACTGTTCCATTTTTCATTCCTCTACAGTGATTCTGCTCCGTACTGGCATGCATGTACATTTATACATCCACTCCGCCATGAGGCATTCAGAATTGACATACCTCAGGGAGACATATCAATACATTACTGAAATAATGCTCATAATTGTACACAAAGAAAGGACACCAGTAAAATCACTTTAATAAAAAGGAAGCTTGTAATACTGTAAGAACTTAGCAGAAATTCAATAGCATCCCTCGAGAGAAGGAATGGCTTTGTTGTTTTTCTCTCTCATGAAAGAACTCCACATTCAACTCTTCTGTAAACATTTTAAGGGCTTTCACAGTTAAAAGTACTGATTCCTCCACCCACAATTTCTTTAAATCCAATTCAAATAAGAAATCAGAAAAGCAGGAACAGTTATGTTGGGTTTTGCATCCTTAGTGTGATAGAGTGAAAAGAATTATTATTAGATAGGTACCTTCATGCAGTTCTTTCCGCAACTTCTCTGCATCTTCTTGCAGGACTGATTTTTGTGTGTTCAGAACAGCCACATACATCTCTAAGTCTGTCCTACATGACTTCTCAGCTTCCAAATAATGGTTCAGTTCTTTAACCTGAATAAAAACAGAGATTAATCCACCATCTCAGCGGGGGAACACTCTCAGGCATTTCCTTTTTGTTAGAAGTTAGTGTCACGTGTTAGGGTAACATACAGGTGCTGAAGAGAAGTTTATTTCTAGAAATCATAAATATTCAACTACCAGTGTGCAAGCAGTATTTGTATTTATTTCTGAATAAATTACTCATTAAAATTTTGCTTAGTAACATATTTGGAGTTCCTACAGTTAGGTCACAACAGCAGCAGCACTGAGCGCAGAGATGGTAAAGAAGGAAGTATCTAGTAAGAGCAGACAATGAAGCAATCCTTTCACCAGCACTAATAAGCCAACAACTAAGTAGGATGTGGAGACGTTCAAAACACAGCAACAATATTAGTCAGAAAACACGACTATGAGGCAAGTTTGAACTAAACCAGGGATGCTAAGAGAGAAAACTTGGGGACAACACAAGAAAAACATTCAAACCCACGAAAGGCTGCTGCAAAAAGAAAGGAAAATCTGTCCATGGAGGATGGGATAAAAAGCAATTACAGAAAGAACAACTAAAGAAATATGTTAGGATTATTTTCTTCTTTTTTTGTTTTTTAAATAGCAAAGTTAACAAAGAACTGGAACCAATGTCCTACAGCGACTGCTGAATCTCCAGGGAGAACCTTTTAAGATAGGGTTACATAAACATTTGTCAAACATGATGCTTGTGCAAGTGGATCCCATCTTGGAGCAAGGAATGGGCTGAAAGGTTTCTTTACAGCACTATTCAGTTTTATGGTTTGCTGAGTCAGGATCGCAAGAGATTTTATTTTAAAGGAAACAAAAGCCTTCAGGCAATTCTTGACTGGCTCCACAGCACTGTAGTTCATCTTCCTCAACACAGTACAGGAGCCACAGACACAGACTCAAGAGTTCAAGACAGCCCTTTGGCTTTAACTTGCCGTTGATGGTGGGGACAGCTTCTCCTACCCTAGGATACCAAGTCTTCTGTCTGCAAGTCTTTTGGCCATTGAAATGGAGAAATCTGATTCCCAGAGAACAGGCCTTGCGAAAGATGGAACAGGGGGGAAAAAAACAAAACCAAAAAAACCACCAAAACAAAAGGAATGCCTTGTTTCGCTAATCCAACTGACTACTTGACACTGAAAAACAAAATTACATGACTCAAGCAAATCTAAGGGATTTCATCATGACCAACAGAAAGGCCAAATGTATTGCTCATTCTGCAGGTGTCAGTCCTCATACCAGTCTAGTAATACAAATCATGTAAATAATACCTTGCATTTTTATAGCACTATAATTGAAGTACTGTAACAACTTCCTAAGTTCGTGCTTAAACATCTCCTTGCGAGATACAAAAGAGCAATTCCTTCTCATTAGGCTAAAAAGGTGACTTGAAATAGAACTATCAGCAACTTCAGGCAGAAGGAATAATGAAGTGGAATGACCACAGGTAAGAAATAAGGGCCTAAGTTACTTTCTTTGGTAAGAATCACATCTAAAGTGAGACAACTTTAAAAACAGCCCCTCAATGAACAAGAAACAAAGTGATGATCCTCTTTTTTCCAAGAGATGTGTGCTTGTGTTTTACTGCACTCATAGAATGACATTCTTAGATTTTAGAGGAGGGACAGAGAAACCAATATGATTCCTGGTCCTGAAACACTACCAATTTTACTGAGGCCTTGTCAGAGTAAAGGAAAGAGGGAGACAAGAATGACCTATGATTTTTATAATGAAATTCAGCAGAAAAGTTCTAAAAGTTCTAGACTACTCTTAAGAAAAGAAGAAGAAAAAAGCAAAAGAAAAAGCATTTCAAGAGCAAGCAAGAAGAGAAGGTTCACCCTCATCTTCCCCATATTCAGCCTGGCAACAAAAAGGAAGTACTATTTGCATCAAGAGAAAAGCAGAACTACCTGGAGAACTATTATTCCTAGGAACACTTCAATCTCAAAAATTTGACCTGCAAAGCAATTCACAAAGAATCTATGAAGAAGGGAAACACTCAAGCATGGGCTCTCAATTGAGTAAAATTGCTAAGACTTAAATGAATTACATTGCTTTCCCAAATCTCAGACAGACCTCTCCAAGCTGCACTAAAAGCAAAAAAAAAAAAAGAGAGAGAGAGAAGGAGAGAAGAATTCCAGTGATGAGCACCTATTTAAATGGAAATGCAAGTGATCCAGAAGACAAGGTATTTATTTGTATGTCTTAAAAACATCAAAACGGTAAGTTATTTTGCAATTTCAGCCTATTTGACTTTCAAGATAAAATATTTGTTACAGAAGACATCTTCATTTCTGTATAAAACAGTACATTAAATTCAACTATCCTGCAGTGACGTAGATACTATTCACTCTGCACAGCTAGTGAGAAAGTTCAATACGGGTTCTGACATATTTGAAGAATACAGGAATGCTGGGTAAATCACTTGCATTGATTTCTTGGCAGCAACAGCCAGTATCCCTTTCTATGAATCTGAGGTTTGCTTAAGGTTTAAGATGTAAAAATTCTGGTGATATTGCCTTAGTTTTATGCCCAGGATTAGAAAATTAAATATAGCAGATATTGGATGGATGCGGATTAAAAGAATTCCACGAAATGCAAATCTTTCTGTAGCTGCAAGCACGACATTAATCTAAAGGCCAGACTGTTGGAGTAGTGCAACACAGCTATTTTTCCACAGGTTTTTCTTTTTCATTTCTAATGGAGCTGGAGCCACACAATTCAAGGTAAGCATAGCTATCACACACACACACACACGTAACCCAACCCTCAAAACAGAAAGACAGGAAAATATATATAGGCCAAATAACTTATTTGAACTGTAGCAGAAAAGATATGCATGAAGAGTTTCACAATGCACCTTTTTCTCTTACAAAAATGTGATTTTACTTACTGCATCAAGCTAGCATGATGCAAGATATAAATTAGGATACAGTTACAACTCCACCTCACCTTCGATGCTTCTAACTCTTTTATTTTTTCTTCAGCTCCTGTCAACTTCTCCTTTAGCGCTGCAATCTCTTTCTCCATAGGCATCACAACTGAACGCAGCTTCTCGGCATCTTCTTGGGCCTGAAGTTAATGTAATAAATTATGAAGAACACATTATCATTGTTTTCACCACAACAGTTTCCATCATCGGAGACATTTGGAGAAAATCTCTATGCCAACAAAAATAGCTGACTAAACTTCCACTTTCAATATTCATCTTACTGCTATTTATTTAGTTCAGCAGTCATCTTTATGACAACAGGCTGATATTATTCCATTCACAGAAGGCAGATAAATTTTAAACCCATGGGTGGATTAGGCCATGAATATCTGCTTTTAAAGAGAATGTTAGTAAATCTATCATTCTCAATACTTGGGAGAAAATTTACAGATCAGGCATTTCAATATACGTACACTTTTCTGTTAAAAGAGGCCTAACTGTCTTGCAACTTGTTGCCACATATTATAGCACATATTATAGAAGTGCAACACAGGAACTGCATGGTGAGTTATTTACCATTCATTTACTTACTCATGAAGTTAAAAGAAAAAGGATCTGCACAGTAATGCATAGAGTAGCTTTGTTCTGTTTTGGAAGACCATTTTTCAACTTCAACTTACTACAGATGTAGCATCAGTTTTTGATGTTACTGTACTAGGTATTTCAAAACTATATACAGACAATTTACTAGAAACCCCATGGTATTTTCAAAAAGTACTTCTGAGAAAGATCAAAGCAGGACAAGAGAGTAAGAAGATTGATATGAGGGGGAAAAAAAGAGAGTGTGACAGGTAAAAATAGTGAGAATGAAAATGAGAAATAGTGTTCAGTGTTCAAATTCAAAATTGAACGTGTCAAAGAGTGGCCCTGACATCCCCATTTCTTAAATGCTCCGGCTTTCCTTCATGGATGCACTAAAAACTTTCCAAGTGAAAGTAACAGCTCCCACAGACTCCACAACAGCAATCAGAACACTCAAATATTCACAGCAGCAAAATTCTTCAAGCTACAAAGAATTTAAGCAACCTAATTTGGGTTGGTTTTATGCATGAGCATTCTGAGCCTTCAATTGTTCTCTATCTTCTACTAGAGGAATTCAGCAAGGGAGGGAAGGCAGAGAACTGTGTCCCAAGCTGAAGTTTCAGAAGATGACACTTTTCCTAACCTGATCAGAGACAGCTGCTAAAAGGTAACATCCACATCTCACTTTAAATCTAAACTAGAATGCAGGTCTTACGAGGATACTCATGTGACTTTCAGTTTCTGGTGAGCTTACTGACAATTGTATTCTGAGCAAGACTTTCAGGAAGACAAATAGACAATATTTTTAACCATTAAAGTTTTCTAAACTTAAAACTAGCAGACAAAAATCAAATAATATTGCAATACCTGTCAATTATCCAAATGCTACCGGGCCCTTGGGCTCTAAAGAGCTTTAAAGAAAACTTTAAGGACAAAACAAAATTAAATTTCTTCATGTTTCATTCCCCTCTGCTACATTTTGTCACTGCTACTTTGCTTGTCCAAAGAGTACAAATAAAATCCGTGGGGAAAGCGAGGGACATCACATGATGCAGTGAATTCAATACCAGGGACATGTGACAGTGTCACACGTACATACATATCCCATCACTTGCAGCCAGCAACTCATCAGTCATAGTTTTCAAACAGATGGAGCAGTTCAACGTCAAAGATTGCTTTATATTCCATTTATTGTATCAGTTCAATTCATTTACCTATAGCCAGCTCATATGGACTAAAGATAGCCCAACATTTTTAGGACTGTTGAACAAGTTTTTTCCTAATTATTCATGATAACTGCAGGAATATTTAATCGCCAGCCTGATTTCACATGGTTCTATATTCAGTGTTGAACAACAAATGCATCCACGTTGGAGCCAACGAGTTCAGAGAAACAATCTGGAAGTTCCCTGAAAGCAAAATCAGACTGTTTAACAGCAACCAACTGGAAAGATAAATTGAGGTTAAAGTTTCCACTCAAACTCTTAATAAAATGAGAGTATCTATCTTGTCAAAAAATGCTATATTAGGACACTGTCACATGTGGCAAGAGGTGCCACAGCATCACATTTCCTGTGTTAAAAACACGTTATTCAGACTCCTCCAGAGGCGTGACCATTAAAATGTTTATTTCCTTCTAACTTTTTGCCAGACTAACTTTACGGTCAAAGACCAAGGTTTTATACATTATCAGCTTGTATTTATTCATCACCTAATCAAAAACAAAGCACCGAAGCCGCTTCTGCCCCAGCAAAGCATGCTTCCCCCCAGCGCAGCGGCTGAAGAACATGCTGCAAGGATCTACAGACTACAGCACAGTCTCCACATGCAAGATGGCTCCACAGAAAGAACACGCTAAAAATGAGACCAAATCAGCACACAAAACATTGCATTGCTAGCCTGACAGCTAGCCACAGCAATCCTGAATGTCCTTTACTGTTACTCCAACCAATGCTTTCAGAAGAACAAAAACCTGGGTGGAAAAGTCTCAGGCACGTACTGTACCTGAATTTGCTCCTTAAAAACAAGACAAGCGTAAAATACACAGACACAATTTGAGAATCTCTCTTTAAAATAGAATGTTAATGTTCGTCTAAATCTGTTCCACTGTTCTTTATCATTACCAATGAAAACAGCTCACTGTAGATCAGATTTTATGGCCAACTCTGTCACAGAAATCAGATTATCCTCCCCTTCCCATTTCCCCGCTTCTGACTAATAAGCACACTTCATAACAGGAGGTTCGTCCTTTCATGCTCGCTCTATATGCAAAATACCTGTTCTGCAGACTTCTGCTACTCAGAGCTTGACACAACTGTGCTAAGGAGAATCTTTATATTCATCACAGCTCCAACAGAAAACTAGATCATTTCCTGAATGGAAAATGAGGTCTGAATAAAAAGGACTAGCCACATTTTGCTAGTGTGCAAGACTCATGCTCACCAAGTCATTGTCCACAGGGAGCAGAGAGGACTTGCGTGGAAGCCCACGTTGCTATGGCTAGACCGCTTTTAGAATCTGTGGTAACAAAAAACGCAAAACCTATCTGGTATTATAAAGCAACAGGAAGATAGAGAGATTTTTTACAAATCACCAATATATTTTCTGAAAGATGAATCGCTAGGTAAGCATGCTCATTGTTAGAACAAGGCATTTACCTTTTTTGAGCTGAGAGGGAAGATTTATAGAATACACACAGAGTTTTCAGCAAAAATTTCTTAGAAATTGTTGCTTTGTTATAAAAAAAAATAAATCACAGAACACAAAAGTTTTCTACAGTGATTTGGCTATTTGCAACTCAAAATATATTTACATGGAAAAGCAAAACAGCTGCTTCCAGACACATCCCAGTGCATGTGTTCCACCAGACATGCTCCTTCTGACAAGGGGATGCTCAAGAATGCCAAATACCATGTTTGCAGGCTAGAGTTGGATACCTCTGGCAAAGTAGTCACAATCTAGTAAATACAGCTCAAAAGAGTATGCTTATCAAAACACTACCCACCTACTCTAAGTACTCACAAACCAGGATAAATACCATGCACACTGGAAGTCTGAGAGCACACATACCAAAACTGTACACTCAACCAAATAAACAAACTTTAAATTCAAAGAGATATTTACAGAATTGGGAACAACATTGGTTATCTACCCTTAACCTCTTTCAGGGAAAAAGCATGCAGACAACAAGCATAACCATTAGCAATTATTGTAGACACAGTATTACATTTCATTGATTTTCTTTGTTGTTTAAAATGGATTTTATAGTCACATTGAACACAACTGAACTGAGATATTATCCAGCCAACAGAGCCAGAAGGTTAGTGTCCTGGACTGCAACATGTAGCTTGTAACCTTGCCGCTGCTCTGCCCATTCTTCTCACCTCACCTCTCGCTGACAATGCTAGGCAATGGTACGGTTTTCTGCTAGTTTTAAAGAAATGTGATATATTATATGCTGGTACAGCACCTACTTACAACCCAGAGAGCACAGACAGGAAAGTACTTTTTTTTATTATTTTTTTTTTACTCCTTTGAGATTTTTGGAGATTCCTTAGAACTGGCTAGAAAACAAAAATATTTTTAAATAACTCTTTCCAAGTTTATGCCTAAAAATAAAATAAATCCATCCTTATAATGGAGCATATAAAGATGGAGGATGAGTACAACATTGTTAGCTGAAAATGCCATTTTGCATGAGGAATTGATCACAAGTCTTCAAAGAGCATATCCCAACTGATAAGAATATCCTTTCCTACTGATTGCTGAAAGATATCCTACTGAAAGATATCCTCTCCTACTGAAAGATATCCTTTCCTACTGACTGCTGATGTATGAATATTCATTATTTTACTAGCCAAACACAGCTTTTTGTGGGCTTAGGATTTGTTTGTTTGTTTTTTAGGTGAAATGAATGTCCTTTTTCTAATTTTGATCTAATTCTTAGTCTCCTTGAGGAAAAACCTCACAGGTTTAATGACCAAGAAGATTAAAAAACCCATGCAAAACAGTTTCAAGAATTATTTCAAGCTGCACTCTGAAGACCAGATTTACCCTTCCCCTTCATATTACATAAAGTACACATTCCTCTGGCTCTGCAGGCCTATAAAGATTTCCAAGTTTATATTAAACACAAATTAATAAACTGATCACCTTTTCTTTTAGTATTACAAGGGATATTGATTTCCTTTTCAAAGGAGTATAGTTGAAACTGTTTTTTACCTGCCATACTAACCTTACATGCTAACAGACACACAGTAAAGCCACCAAGGTCAGGGCAGCTGCTCTGTCATCTGAGCAACTTGCAGCTCCAACTGTTACATGATCAGTACATTCAGCTAAAAAAAACCAAAACACACAACCAAAAAAAAATCCCAAAAAACACCAAGTGCTGAGATTTTAGTTACTGGAAAGACTCTCTCAGTCAAGAGAGACTGTTTTCTGAAAATTCTTACTGGCAGTTTGTTGGTAATGCACTGCCAGGACTTTTACACTATGAACTCTGCATCTTCCGGGTTGTTTCTACAAGACTCACCACACCGATCCAATTTTGAACCTTCCTTCTGGCTTCAACCGAAGTCTTTTTTCCTCTTAATAAAGTTAAAACATTCTCTTAAAAACAGCTCATGTCTTAAAGTTCCAGTGGCAGTAATTCTGTAGTCAGAACGTTGGCAAATAGGCTTTACTCTGACTTCCACCTTTATAAATCAGGACTACATGAAGAAGCAGTCTCACTGAATTCCAAACAGGAATTATGCAACTACAGCTAGCAGTATTCAAGAATCTCTAAGTCTCAGAAAAAGAATTCCATTTTGCAACACTGATTGCTTGTTACAACATAGTAAAAAGAGGTAAATACTTACTATGTGGAATGTTTGTGACATTCAATACTGCATTTCTTCTGCTGACAGCAAGCATAAACAAGAAAATGCAGTGATGTGGCATATTACCAGATGTTAGTCTACTCCTTTGTTGAATATAGGGGCATTTATTACAGTGAAATTGTCTTAGAATACCTTGAAGACTACTGTAAGCCTACTGAGAAGACAAATTCACTTAAATGCACGTTTTTATTGTATAATAAACAAAGATTGCAAAACATTGTTCTATTATGACAGGTTCAGTTTCCTGCCTGCCTGAAAGAGAAATACACCAAATCTTCAAACTCAACACAAGGCACCACAGTCTACTTCAGCGAATTCTTCTGTCACAGAGCTTTGAACAACAACAGAATTTTTCAAAATTCCAGGGCAACTATCTTTCATCATCTAGAACCTGTTATTTTATGACAGCAAGGTTCTCTATTTCCTAGGAAGCCACTAGCATGTGTTCCACAAACATGGCTTACCTTAAAGAAAGACAAAAGACATTTTAGATACAGTGGCCATTAAAAACCTCAAAAGAAGTTTGTAAGATCTGAGAAAAGGAATAAAGGTGCAGAAGTGTAAAGGAAGTTTTATAAATCTGCAGTCAATCCAGAAAAATCTAAAGGGGGCTTTACTTGAGTTCATTTGACATTATGACTAGAGACTTTATAAGGCCACCTGCTTTTACAGGCCGAAGGCCAAACCTTACCATCTTCTCAGGTGCAATCCTCTTACTGAATCCACATAATCGGATACAACACCTTTATGGATTCAAATGCAGGATTAGGTCATGATGACTTCCATGAACAAAGAGCTGAATGTTGGCAGAACGAGGCTATCTGTACTTCTGAGGAATTATAGCAAGGCACAGAAATGAACTCATGCATAACACCACAAGCATATCTTGAAACACAAACTGAAGAGCTAGATTTCAATGTACCTTTTTCATTTCATTTTCTAGGTTTTCTTCCTCTTGACCTTCAGACAGTCGCCGCCTTAACTCTGCTATTTCCCGTTCCACATTTTCTCGATATTGATTCCACTGAGCTCGCTCTTGCTCCAACCTGTGATGATACTGGAGCTCATAGTCACGAACAGTCTCTATAAAACAGTATTTTCAAAGCTTATTTTTAATGTGAGTTAGAAAACAGAGCTTTAGGAACTCCATCTCCAACCAGTCAATGATTTATCATAATTGATCAAAATTAGGACAACAGTGATCTCTCCCCTTCCCTTTGACTCTTGCTCCAAAAAACAACTACACAAGCAAAAGATTCAAAGGAACTGCATCTCAATTTATCCCATTACTAGAAAATAAACAAACCTCCAAAACTGCGTAACTCCTAATTTCAAAACAATGTACATGTCTAACATCCTATTTAGCAGCACACTTTTACTTCCAAGCACATCATCCAAACAGACTACTGAAACCCTACTTATTTTACTCCAAAATGCAAAGATCTAGGAACTTCTCACATAGCTTTAATTTCCCTATTATTAATATTATCCCTTCAGGTAAAAGCTGTCTTTGTTTACATACGTACAGCAGCTGGCACAACTGAGCCTTGATCTAGGTTCATGTACCTATAAGATCATAAATAAACAGAATTTTTTACACTCAACATACATGAAGATTTGTGTTCTCTGGTGGAAAAGCATAATCAGGTGATGGAATAACTGCCGTAAGGCTCAGGATATTGTGAACCTGTTTGTGAACCTTTAAGAAAACAGCCAGTTATGGCAACAGCCTGTCCTCAGTTTACATCCTGCATTTTGTTTCTTACACATAGTTTGCCTCAGAAACGTCAACAGCTGTGCAATGTGCAAACATAACAAAGAATAGCTCAGAACTATAAAGAAAAAAACAATGACACACGACTGATACGGAGCAGCATGTTCAGTCAGTAGTCTGGGGAAAAGTCCATGTGATAGTACTGCAGGGACACTTAACTGTTTGACAGCAGAACTATGTTTACACAGAAGGAGAGAAGAGAATCACGCTGTCAGCCTAAAGCCGTTTTCAGACTTGTCAAATTACATGCATTATACTTATCTTTGTGGAAGGATGAAGTATCACATTCACAGTCCCTTAAAAATGCTTTGTATATATATGGCAGTTCCCATCGCCATGATTCCATCTAAATTCTGTCCTCATATTAACAGAAAAAAGAACCACCGAGCTACTTTTCACAAACTCAGGAACTATGCTTCATCCGTCACTTCTGTAGCCCAGTTTTGCCAAGTCATGAAAAGCAGCTATCCATATTCTGTGCCAAGAGCAGGCACAAATCACTAAACGCACACGAAAGAGGTGTCCGATCTTAGCAGCAGCAGCTTGCCTGGTTGTTACCTTTCATAATAGCTTGTAGTGAAGCTACTTCTTCTTGCCACTGTCTCTTCACCTCATCGATAGCTTCCTGCTTTGTATTCTCTGATACTGTAGCTATAGCTTTGATGTTCTCCATTTCAGCATGAGCTTCCATCAGCTGGGTTCGCAATTGGCCCAGATCGTCTTGGGCTGCTTGCAGCACTGCATTTTGTCTTTTCAGGTCCTCTGAAAGGAAGCAGTATTTACATTTAGCTTGATTAATTAATTCAACCTGAAGAGTATCCATAGTTGGTACAGCAAAGAACAGCGCTCTAACAAGGGGGTGAAGGAAGTACTGATAAGCATTTACCTGTAACAACCAAACAAACTTTAGTAGGTGGCTTTAGTCTTTCCTGACCTTGCTTGCCCATGCCTTTTATTAAAAAACTACCTTCTCATGGATGCAGCCACAAAGCAGACACTGTTGATATAACCTATGAATCAATATACCTGATGAAAATGAAGTCTGCTTTTAACTAGCTCAGTATTATTTAACTTATTCTGGTAATGAATCCAGAAAAGATAAGAACAACAGACAGACAGTTCTTTCCCCGTTTTTGTCACAAACTTGGTCCTGAATTTAGATAGAACACTTCATATTTCTTTAACAGAAACACTCTGTGACCACTACCTGGAGCCCACATAAGAAACTATGCAGCCTAATTTGTTCTTTACCATGACTTTGCTAAAACTAAGCTTCCAGTAAAAAAAGGTGATACATTCAATGGAACATCCACTATTTCTCTATTTATTGCAGCTATAAACAGAAATTAAACTGATTTCACATATCCTCCTGAGTTTTCAAGTTAATCTGAAGCAAAAAGCTCTGGAAGATACATATTATGCAATTCATGAGAAAAGCACTAACACAAAATACAGTTTTATGCCCACATAGCCTATTCCAATGGCAATCACTTTTAGCAGAAACATCTGGCCAGTGTACAATAAACAGCAAGCTGTTTGTTTCCCTCAGTACCAAAATGCTTAATCCATCCTGGTGCCCAGCACCTTACCCTTTGATAGAGAATATGGAACCCCGAGCTAATCGGGTACTCAAAAGGGCATTAATCCTTGTGTAAAAAACCCCAAGATCTTATTACTTAGTGCTCAAATGACAGTAGCAAGGATGGGCTGCCACAGTCCCAATGTACATTTAGGAAAGAGTCTTGAAGGACAGGGAGGGGGAAAAAGCTTGGGGCGTGGAGGCGGGAATTATGTAATTGCTTGTATATTCTCCTCTGGTATCCTTTCACTTCAGTATATGTGAAAGTTGGATTTATTTCTTTTTCTTCGCTCGTCACAATATGTTTTTATTTTCTGTTTCTGGACTGTTCTGAAAGAGAGAGAATTACTGCTGATGTCATCAGCAGTGTCTTGTATCTTAAATTTCCTTTCATCCAGCTGTTAGAAACACAAAGAAATAGGCCTTCTGTATGATCTGATCTTCATTATGCCTGTTGTATTTCTGCTCTCATAAGCTTATACAAGCAGCTGCAGTCTTAATGCATTATTTTTTGGCTTTGCTTTCATATGTTAAGGACAGGAAAATCATCAGGATTAGAAATAAATCAATTTGGCTCTCAGAACAGCAGCCATCTCTACTCTCCAATTCTTCATCAGATATTTGAGCTCATATGGTTTAAATTTTCCTATAAAGACTGTTACTGAAATAGATGCCCTTGGCTGGTATTAAAACTTTATTATAATGTTTGTCTGCGTATATTCTACTTCAGACGGAAATTTAAGACAAATTAATACTACATAAAAAAAGCCATCCACAAAGTACAAACAGCACAGCATCTAGACTATGTCTTTTCACTTACCAGATCAGCTGCTGTTCAGAGAGAACGAGCACATCATGATTTCAGAATATTAGCACTAAAACTCAGTGCTGGTGTTTCTTGCATATCAAGTTGCTCTGCTGTCTCCTGTCCATGCAGGCAAACCTTTAAATTAATTCTAAAAATTCATTCTAGGAAGCTAAATAGCCACCTATAGAATTTTACTCTCTGCTTGTCTCTTATGTTCTTATGTGTCTGTTTAGAAGACCACTGCCACTTTTTCATTTTTGACAGATCAGAAATAACAATCGTGCTGGATATGCAGTCGACTATCCCAGTACTGGGAGAAAAATCCCTTAAATCCTAATTATCCTTACACAACTTTAAAAAAAAACCAAACAAAACACAAGAAAGTATGTGCTGTGCATAGGCAAATGGGGAGTAGTAGTTGGCATTACAGTTGTTATTCTTCATACAGGGATTATCTGAAGCTCAAGTTTAACTAAACTTTAGAATAATTCAGAGAATCAAGAACCTTACCTTCCTTAGCCAAGTATAACTCCTTAAATTTTGCTCTCTTTTGATTAAACTCTTGCTCAAGTTGCTGCTTTGTGCGCAGAAATTCTGCATTGACCTTTTCCAATTCTGCTACCCGTTGTAGAAGAGCAACTAAAATTAAAACAGAAGATAAGGTACATCACTAACGGTTAAGGCATCCCATTCTGCAACTTTGAGGTTTGGGGCTTATTCTTTTTACAATATCTTTAGTCATTAGCTCAGCTATTGCCCCATGATACATCAGGACAGCTAGTCAGAGTCCATTAAGTAATAAGGGAAGATAAATTTTTTTAGACTGAAGCACCAAACTGTAACAAACATCTTCACAGCACTAAAGGTGCATGTGGCAGGGAAGTCTGTAGAAAATAGCCAATCTCCCAAAGAAAACCATAATTTCTTATATACAATAAAGGAAGAAGAAAAAACAAAACTCCACCCAACCCAGCACCAGAATTCTTTCTATTGGTGCTCCTTTCCAAAACACTGGGAATTTAGTCACCAGGTACAGGAACAGTGTGTGAAGTCTGAACAACAAAGCACGAAGTTCTCAAAGGCTGAGGTCAAAGAAAACAGTGACAGCTGCTCAGCTAACAACCACAGAAGAACAAAGCACAGAAAACCCCACACACTAAAAATGTGATGCGTTATCTTTCCTGTCTTCAGTTCTGCATGTTCACCAAAAGAAGGTTTCTCAGACTATACTCAGAGAAGTTTGCCAGAAGGTGACCACAATCTATGGAGAAATAACTGCTCATAAGATAAAATTCTCCTTATTTCCAGCAGGTAAAAATCCTGAAGGGTGCACATACGTCACACTATTTTCCAGTATTTACCACATTAGCAGTTGATCTGGTGGTACAACAAAGGAGCAAACAGTAGGAAGCCCACAAGGCACTTAAAGATTGTTACAATGCGATTACTATTGAAAAAAACATACATACAATACCACTGTACAATGATATGAAGATCACCCACAACCTGTAATATTGATCTTCATGTGCACTATTAACTTCTTTGCACTTCAAGAAGCATAAGCCTGGTTTAGATGCCAGACGGTTTCACATTGCACACCTCAGAACTCAAATACGAAACAGAAACAAAAGACAGATGAACTAGAACAAAATCCACCTCCATGCTGCAATACACTGAGCAAATAATGTTCCTCTACACAATTCTCTATTTGCTCAGCAAAAGTATTTTATGGACATGTTCCAACTCTGTCATGCAAAGTTGAATCGCTTCTTTTCAGTTATAGCCTCTACATAGCACAGACCAGATATATGTAAAATATTGATCTATCAGAAGTATTTATACATCACACCCAACACACTTCCCACCAGAAGCAAGTAGTGAAAGCATAGTACAAAGGCTACACAACTTCAGCATCAAACATTTAGACTTACAAACAGACAGAATCAGATCTAGAGCTTACAGTGCTAAAATACTGGATGGTCAATGCCATTGAGATTGAGAGAGTTATAGTTATTTTTAGTACCAGATGACTTAGAGTAAGAGCAGACACAAACAAAAGGTCCTTTTAAAAAGCACAGATATGTTTTACTGATTGCTGATTATGAGGGCTTATAGTGTTACAAAGTACAGAACTTAATCTGTCCAACTCTGCATCAGATATGTGTATACGGTTTATGTAGATACAGGACAGAAGAAATCTTACTGTTACTTTTTCATTGAAATCCTCATTTTGGTTTTTTGTCACCTTAAATAGCAACACATCAGTTTGGCCAGCAACTCCTACCTGGCTAGTGCAAAGCCAACTGCACAGGAGTGTTCTCCAGAAAATGAAAGGAACCTGTAGCAAAGACGACACACTAAGAGCAAAGCTTCAAGAGAGTTAGGAGAGCGACTGGGTCAAAAGCAGGAAAGAAATAGCACACATGGAGCCAGGCCCAGGTAGCAAAAACGCTCCCCGAGGCTAAAGAGCTGCCTTGGATCTCTTGCTGAAGTCTTCCAAAGGGAAAGGGTTTGCCGACATTTCCACTCCCCGCTGACTTCTGAGGGAGGGCGATGCTGGCAGCAAAGCCACTTGCCGCAGCCCGGGGGAGAGCAGCTCGCGGGCTGGCCCAGGCCAGAGCCCCGGCGCGGCCCGCTGCTGCAGCGCCTGCTTCACACCTGAGGAACGGAACGCGATGCTTGGCTCTGCGGAGGTGGTTTTGATCTCACGGTTTCAGCTCTTGAAAGGAAACTACTAGAAACACTAACGCCTAAGTGAACTGTATGCCATGGTTAGGGGCAGGTCGCTAAACCCTACAGGACCGGTCAGGCAACTGGGCATCTGCAGTTACCGGCCAGGAGGCCCAAAGCCACAAAACAAACCAAGGAGGAATTTGGACATCACTCACCTTACACACACTGTTTTGAAGGCCATATAAAAAAATGTGTATAATTCTACAATTACTAATTCTGAAAGTTAACAAATCAACTGCAGACATCAGTAAACCTCCCCCACACCCAAAAAGAAGACTCAAGCACTCCTTGTTTACTTGTTTCCCTTTCCAGCTTTCTTTTGCAGAGAGACAGCAGCAGCTGTGCTCCAGCTCCCATCAGAAAGCTGTTGTGCAAAACAACCGAGCTGTATTTCTTCCAAAGATGAGAGTTGCTTCTGCTGAGGATGGAAGGAAGAGAGGGCACCACAAGAGCAGAAACTTCCAGTGCTTTAGGCTGGGGGAACAGACTCATCCTTTTTAAATCCTCCCACCCAAAAGGAAAGAGGGATGGCAGAATCACCAAGCAGTAAATGCAGTTTAAACTTCAAATATTTACGTTCACACTATTCCCCTTCCCTACAACCTGGCAGTTATGTATAAAAAAGTAATGAATAAATAATCAGCCCCCACCACAACAAAGCCCTGGCCACTGTCAGGATCAGCTGTAGGCATTCAAAAAACCGAACTGTTGAAGATCTCAACTGCAGGTCACGCATCACTGCAACTGTGTGTTAACATTCTTTTTTTCCAGATACTAAGTTCAAAGTCTTTTTACCACCTGCACTATGTGTGTGGCAGAGGACAGACCTTGGTGCTCCTCACACAGGAGAGGAGTTTGTCCCCATTACCAGTACCCACACTGCAGTGGTACAAGGCACATAAACTTGGGGACAATAAGCCATGTAATACATCAGCCCCCTGAAACTCATGCGCAAGAAAGTAAAAGCAAAGGAAGGTTTATTTTCTAAGATGTCATGACAACTACCTTCTTTCTACTAAGTATGAATAAATTTTCACCAAAATTACTTCCTTCTCTGGGGGTATGATTTGTATGATGGCCATACAGACTCTCCACTTTCCAAAATGAAAGCATGAAACCAAATGCAAATTGCCAGATGCAGGTAACCTCGGGCTAAAGTGAGCCTGGAGGCACACTGAAGTCAATGGCAGGAAATGGACTCAATTCATAGATTTTCAATTAGGCCTTTGTCATTTACAGCTGACTCCTTGCTCTGAATTTAGGTCCAACTCACCCCAGGTCTGTAACAGAGCTGAAAAAGCATACTGTGTTTACCATCACAGGCTATCAACTTAAAACTGAACAACAACAACAAGCCCAAAAAAGCAAAACATACATTTTGCAATTACAGTATTCATTAACTTGCCAGAGTCCCTGTCCCTATGCTCCCATTTCCATGCACGGAAATGCAGCTATCAATGTTTAACAACAGCTATTAAGTATATAGTCAACAAAGCCTGATAGATGGTCACCTCTCGTGGAGCTACACCCAACTGAAACAGGATCTTGTGTTACACATGAGATCAGAACAGGCACAGGACATGCTGTATTTCATTAAGAGCAGTAGTGTAGAAGACCTAATTCCCTAATTAGGGCCCTAACTCATCAAGAAAGAAACAAAAACTATAAAGACCCAATTTCTTAACTCCTAAAACAGCACTGAGAAAATTTTAAATTAAAATTGATATGCCAAACTGAAAAACAAAAAAGCAAACAAGAAGTCCCTTTGGCCAACAACATATTAGCTTTAAATAGCACTTTTTTTTTCCCCGGAGTATTGGGGCAAATAGACTACTGATGACATAGTTAGACATGCCGATTAAATTACTAGCTTTGTTTCTAATGAATAACACGGATTTTGTAGAGACATTTCAGGTCAGACACAGGGATCACCATCTCCCTGTTTAACACTATAGCAAAGTACAGTGTATACTATCACATGGCTTAACCAGGTAGAAGAACTCAGAAGAAGGGCAGCAAAATTCATTTCAGAGTGGAGTCATCAATTTATAGGAGAACCATGAAACTACTGGAGTACACAAAGAGAAACTCTAGTGAAAAAGATACAACTACAACTTTCTTTTAACCCACTAAACAGCAACATTTCAATTCAAGGAAATCACAGGAACAAACACACATTTCTTGATGACTAGTTACTTAAATGCCACTTCACAGATCAGCTCCCAAAAGGATTAAATTTTATGTATGACAAAGTTTCCAGTTACACAAACATGTAGTGACCGCTCCAGAACTAAGACAGACAAAGCTGATTATCAATAAGACTATTTTTGAATACTAGGTCTATTTATAAAATTAATGCCACAAAGCTTTCTTTGATATTTAACGTGTCAAACATGACATCAGTCCTATATAGCTGAAATCTGAAAAACAAGTCAAAACCCCCTATACATTCAACACATTTTTTGGAGACAAAAAATAAAAATAAAAATCACTTCTGTCAGAATAGTTTGCGTTGCAAGGAACCTTTAAAAGCCATCTAGTCCAACCCCCCTGCAGTAAGCAGGGACATGTTCAACTCGATCAGGCTGCTCAGAGCCCTGTCCAACCTGATCTGGAACGTTTCCAGGGATGGGGCATCTACCACCTCTCTGGGCAACCTGGGCCAGTGGTTCACCATCCTCACTGTAAATGAATTCCTCCTTATATCTAGTCTAAATCTGCCCTCTTTTAGTTTAAAACCATTACCCCTTGTCCTATCGCTCCAGGCCCTGCTAAAAAGTCTGCCCCCATCTTTCTTATAAGCCCCTTTCAAATACTGGCTGGCTGCAGTAAGGTCTCCCCAGAGCCTTCTCTGCTCCAGGCTGAACAACCCCAACTCTCCCAGCCTGTCCTCACAGCAGAGCAGAGCTGTTCCTGCCCTCTGATCCAACAGATCCATGTCCTTCCTGTGCTGAGGGCTCTGGAGCTGGATGCAGCACTCATATACCAGCCATTCTTCTGTCATTTTCCACCTCTTTTCCTGCACCTTCTGCTTGAGACAGAAGTATGGAAAAATAAAAATATATGACCGCCTATTTTTTTTCCATTCTTATTTCCTAAGAGTACTAA